CATATGCAATGATCTGTCAAAATCAAATCCTTGTATGGAAAACTTGTTTATTTGACAAGGTATCATCATGAAATTCGCTAGGAATAATTTTATAATATAATGCTACAATTTTCGTAAAAATACTTCAGATCGGATCACTATAGCATATAGCTGCCATAAGAAATGATCGGTCAACATCAAGGTCCTGTAAGAAAAACTTTTTTATTTGACAAGATATCATCATGAAATTCGCTACGAATAATTTCCCAGCACAAAACTACAATCACCGAAAAAATTATTCCCATCGGATTACTATAGCATACAGCTGCCATATAAACTAACCGAACAAAATCAAAAAAACTCTTTTTATATCTTTTTCAGAAATGAAAAATGCTCCTGTGAAGGGTATTATAGCTTCTAAGCAGACTAAAATTAACATTTTGCCTTCTTTCTTATTTTAATTTATTTACAATCGTGCTCCCTTACACAAAAGGTGCTTCCTTACATAGTTACATACTTACATACATAGTTAAAAAGGCAAATAAATGTGCCCCAAAGCTTCTGCTTGATTTCACATAAAAAATCTCAAATTACTTAATCACTCAATATCTATACATACATACAAACATTTTTTTCGCATCAAACTCTCTCCTTCCTTCTCGTACTCTCCTTGAATCGAAGCATCTGCATTTGCACGTATGCATGTAAGTACATGCATGTATGTGTGTTTTTGTGTGTGTGCACGCTGATATTTGTTTGCGCGTGTATCCACTGATGCATGGCATCACAATCGCAATAAATCAGATTATTTACAACTGATCGCGCACGTAACTGTTGTTTTTACACATTCAAATTAATTCTATTCAAAATTCATTCATCTGCTCTCATATGCCTCATATTTCGTTGATTCGTTTCTCCTTTGTTTCTAATTACCAGCTGTGTGCGGCTTTATTGTTCAATATTATATTTATATAAAATATATGTGTATATAAATGCATATAAATATATACATATGTATATAAGTGTGAAGTCGAAAATTTCATTAAAGCCGCTTAACTTCTTCTTCGTCATCTTTCGCTTCAATCAAATCATGTGCTTAATTGAGGCAAATTGATCAAAGTAATCACGTGTCTTGGCAAATTCCTCAGCTCCAGCTGTCTCTGGTCATCAAGCGTGAAAAGTAGAATTGGCTTTTTTAGTGTGATGCTCACCACGAATGGAAGACAATTCATTGATATAAACATAATTCAAATATCATTGGAATTTGGGCTTTAAGTACTTTTTACTTTGTTGCCTTTTAGCATATAGACTATATATATCATTCATATATTACAAGCGCTTGCTTTGTAGTAACCACACCACAAAAAAAAAACAAATGCTAAATCACCATTTATATAGCTCGAACAAGCCGCTTAGTAGAATACTGTTTCTAGTTTATGCGCTCCCAATAAATTATGACTTAAGTGACTTCATCAAACATCAACTTGATTTATGCGAATGAAACCCAAACGGAGTGGCCACTTTATTAACACACTGACATAAATTCACATTGACACAAGTTGATGGCTAACGGCCATCAAATGTCAAAAATAACAAATAAAGAAGCAAGCAGTGAGCAAAAAATGCAGAAATATGGTCAATATACTATGCAACGAAATGGTGTTCGTAAATAACCCAAGCTTAGAGAAAGATGACTTAATGCATTTAAGGCGATGACAACACAAGTTCGAAGGAATTCTCATGTAAATATGCTGAAGGGAATAGCTGCCAACTGATGAATATGCTACAGTGAGTGGTCCGACATGAAACAATTTTAGATAAAAGTGCAGTAAAGATGAATTATGTTTAACTGTTATAATTTTTTCTTGATAACAAATACTTTTTGATCCTCTCCACTCGTACTTATCGTTAAATCATAAAATTATTAACTTTATTCCAATTATTTGCGATCGCAAAGCAAGAAATAATGGCAGCCAAATCAGGTGGGCTGAGTGGCCAGGCAATGTCAGCTCTTCTTGACATCAAACTTCGAAGAAATGTTTGACATCCGTACTTGGAGTAGACGAGTGCTGCCGGTTGGTAATCTTTTTGCTCTAAATTTCTATGTTGAATACTTATTAAAGCCTACTAAGTTAGAATAAAATAAAAATATGAATTATTTTCTTAAAAAAGACATGGAATGCAATAGTTTTTTGATTGTTTCATGCGCCTATATATAGTATGCTCCAATGAATAACTTAAGCAGTGAGTATTTATTATACCTTGAATGGGCTATGTATATTATATTTGCCTGAAACTTTTAATCACCAAGAAGGTAACGCCGGAGAAACTATAATATATATATAAATATGTGAGTGACGAGCCTTGTCCGTCTTACGTCTGTGTGTAGGCAACATAGAGCAAATTAGTCCTTCAGGGTTTGAGATATCAACTCAAGTCCTTGGATGAAAAACTTTTTTTTTTTTTTTTTTTCTTTTTTGTGTTTTGTTTTTGCGGCGTGGTGTGGTCATTTTGAAATACACTCATTCGAACGCTCAAACATTCAATTCCAGCTAATAATAACTATATTTTATTTCTAAGAATGTCTAAATATATATTAAACATTAGTAAATGTTTATATATTTCCATTATATAACAACAAGCGAGATATTGAAGGAGCTTTAGCGAAAGTTCAGTCATTGCCTGTCAAGTAAAGCCGAAATTGACAGCAATAAATGTCCGATTTCGGAGAAGGTGTGAGAACACAATTCGAAATAACAATGAACGATAATTGAAAATAACAATAACAATAAAACACTGCAAGCAAACATACAAACTGTTATTTTAACTAGAGGCAACAATAACAACAGCAAACAGAACAATAAATTTTCACCTGGATTTTACTACAACAACAAAGAGGAATTCGTTGGAAGTACAAATACAAATGAAATGGCTGCCGGTGGAACACACACACGCTTAACACTCCAGGCAGTCACAAGCGCGTTATGCAGTTGGTCTAAATCTGCTGACGGAGTGAAGTGTATGAAGGACTTGTTAATATTTAAATAATCTTTAACTGTGGAATATTTTACTTTATATGCACACCAGTAATAATTTCCCATAAAAATCATATACGAAATTCATATTGTTCCATTCTACAACAAAATGTTGTAATTAACCTAATTTTATGGGAGCTTTTGACATTCAGCAAAACTAATATAGTGTCAGCAGTGCTGTAAAACATAAAAGGCCTACAATTTCTCGTGAAAGCTTTAAAGCAACATAAAGCTATATGAAAGCTAATGAAGACCGCATAAAATCATGCATATAAATCCATAACTTAAAACCTTGATTAACTTTTAAAGCTTTTAATTTCCACTTAAAGATCCTTAAACATTTAACTTCTAAAGCTATTAACTTTCATCCCAAGATTAACTTTTGAAGCTTTCAGCTTCCCCTTAAAGATACTTAAACATATAACTTTTAAAGCTTTTAACTTCCATTTAAGGATTCTTAAACTTAATCTTGGCTAAAAGCTTTTTCGAAGCTTCGAAGAATTCAGAAGCAAAGCAAAACAGAAAATACGAATTAGACGTTTTTACGCCAATAATGTGTATTCGAATTCATCGAAACAATAAATGTATTTTTTCGCAATGATTTCGCAAGCTTTCAAACATCAACTATAATTGTAAAGAAAATATTATTTTTATGAGAGACCTGCCATAAAGTCGCCTTTTCGCGCCCCCTCCTCTCTTTGACTACTCAATATAAGGAAAAAATTAGGTAGTCAAACAGTTTCAAGGCCAGAAAAATCGTCAATTTTAATTTAAACTTTAAATAAAAGTATACCCTACACTACCTTGTTTATTGCTTTTTTTTTTTGACAAAAAATGTTTGTAGAAAGATGATTGAGTACATTACCCTTGAAGCTCTTATAAAATCGTTAAAAAATCAATTACTTCCACTTATTTCATAAGATTTATGTTTTATGAGATACAAATTCATTTTAGTCAAGACAATCTATTATACGATATCAGAATCGGATCGAAACTGTAAATCATTTAAGACCTTTCAGAAAATTCCAAAAAGTTACAGTATGTATGGAATGGGTTCAGAATGCATCGACTTTCACTAAATTTAACATCTAGGTTGCTTAGTAAAAATCCATAAAGCTTTCTGAGAGTTTTTTAGTATTTCAGCCGTGGCAAAAGTGGTTTGCTAAAAAATCTATAAAGCTTTCTGAGAGCTTTTCAGTATTTCAACCGTGGCAAAAATGGCTCAGTAAAAAAGTCCATAAAGCTTTCTGAGAGCTTTTCAGTATTTCAACCCTGGCAAAAATGACTTAGTAAAAAATTCCCTAAAGCTTTCTGAGAGATTTTCAGTATTTCAACTGGTGCAAAAATGGCTTAGTAAAAAATTCCATAAAGCTTTATGAGAGTTTTCCAGTATTTCAACCGTGGCAAAAATGTCTTAGTAAAAAATTCCGTAAAGCTTTATGAGAGTTTTTATAGTATTTCAACCGTGGCAGAAATGGCTTAGTAAGAAATTCATAAAGCTTTATAAGAGTCTTTCAGTATTTCAACAGTGGCAAAAATGGCTTAGTAAAAACTTCCATAAAGCTTTCTGAGAGCTTTTCAGTATTTCAACCGTTTCATATTAGGGAAGGAATCTTCAACTTCAGCGGTTTGAATAAATCTATAGAAACACATACTAATAAAGTATTTGATCGAAAGTTTTTTGTATATGAGACAACAAGTGAATCAGCTTAAGTAAGTTTTCCCAAAAATGGGGTATCTTTTAGTTTTAAGAAGATTATGACCAAATTCAAAATGTTGTTAGAAATCTGTAAGCTCTCTTACCGATTCACAAATCTTTTCTTCACATTGAGATAAAAGCTTCTTTGACCATTTTTAGTTTCATCGAACTTTCCTTAAAAGCTTTAAGCTTGAATTTAAGCAATTTAAGAAATTTATCACGTCGAATACAAAAGCAAATAAATGAAATCTGTAAATGAAATAATTCTCTGTCCATATTTCACTTACCCCCAATTCCACATAAATCGTATAGATGGGATATGGCAGCGCAATCACCATGCCAGTAAGCCAAGTCGCGCAGCAGCACACGAAGGCCGGCAAACGGCCCTGCAGTGGATCGCTCAGCCAACGCATGCGATCCCAGGCGATGAGAATATGCGATATTATGGCAACATGCAGCGGAATGTCCTGTGGTGAGCATAAAGAAGAGAAATTGAAACCGAAAAGCAAATACAAACATTATGAATAGACATTTTATACAAATAAATAGTTGGAAAATATATAGTAAAATTTTTGTTGTGAAGGCAGCTTGAAAAAGCGCGACTTCAATGAGATTTTGTTTGACTTTTTAACGTTGTTTTTATAAATTGACGCTGAAAACTTTATAATTAACTCCGTTTCAAATTGCCGCTTGCTTATTAGAGCTTTCAAGCTGATGTTAGTGCTTTTAAAGCAATGTTTACTTTGAATTATAAATGTACATTTGTATTAATTCATATTTATTTTTATTTTTATTTTACTTATTCATCCTTCTTTGCTCCGATAAAACACTCGATTTATTAGCCGATGTCGCTGAACTTCGTTTCGTGCAACTTTCAGAAGGCAATTCTCTTCAGGCCGCAAACTTTTCTATATCTGCCGCAAATGACACTTTCGCGTAGTTTTAATGGCGAAAGTTGTGCGCCGCAAAAAATTTAGTTGGCTTTGTTTGTGTGAGTATGCAGCCTAATGTTAGTCGTAATCGCGCTGGAATCACAGCTAAACCTTTTCCGTAAGCCGAGTTGCATATTGTAGGCAGTGTTGCGGATATTTACTCATAACTTTTGCATACTTTTAGCTGCTAATCATTAAATTATCATCGCAGATTTTATGCTAATTAACCCTTGGATGTCCCATGGGACACTTAGTTAACTGTGAGTAACTCATCAATCAAGTAGTAAAGGCGATTTACTAAATTTTGTTTTTGTTGCTGCAGTGTATTATGCACACAATATTTTATAACCAGATTTATTTTACGACCATCTGAGACCTTTAACGTTTAACATAAAATACTTTGGAATTTTTCATGTAAATTTGTTATTTATTTTTATAAGTGTGTGGAATAGAAAACTCGGCAAATATTTGCCAGTTGCAATATTTAAACTTCGGATTTCCTTCAGGACACTTATGTTACCTTGAGTTTTGAGAATAAAATATTAAAAGCGTTCTAAAAAATTGTGTTGCCTTCTCAAGTAAAATTTGGAGAACAATTTTGCTATAACAGTTTCAATATCATCGCAAAGTTGAGGAATGAAAAATATAGAAAAGGAAGACTAGGTAATCTAGCCTGGTTTTTAGAACTCATAACCGGACTAATCACATCTTGCTGATATCGCGAAAAGAGTAATCTTTCTAGAAACTCAACAGCTTTATAGTTTCCAGTGATTTCCCTGTGCTCTCCTCATACAAGTGATATCATGAGGAAGTCTAGTGCAGGTGATGGTAGATATTATTTAGCTAATGTCTAGCGGTCCGTCAGTGAGTTTAAGGTCGATAGCGTCGCCCTTTATCAAAGTAAGTGTAGTGTAAAATGAAGACCATAAGGTAGAGAGATAATAAGCTACTTAATTTTTAGTATTTCTATGTGTGTTCTATAAAATGATGTTGCTTCTGTTCACTAAATCATATCGAAGTGCTCCAAGAAGTTTCAATAAATTGCATTGAAGAACATACCATTCATGGCATTTCAGCATATTTTGTGTTGACTTCAGTCTCTTGCTAGTATAACATGGATTCACAAATAGCTTCTTTAACTCGTCAGACAAATTCTTAATTAGTTTTCTTTTGTTGTTTGTCATATTATACCTACATGCTATTCTATTCTTAATCCATGTTTTGAAGCTTCACTCCGTAGAACGGTTTCCTCGGTTGATATGGATATAGCTTGCACCTGACAATCATATTATTTTTATTTAAGCAGCAGAAAAGATTTGGCAAATTAGTTGAGGAATGCTAACGAGTTGACAGTCATTACGGAGACCACAGAAATGACCATGAGCATTGACATTTATATAAACTAGAATTTGACGACTTACAAGGAACGTTCGTTTGAGATTGCTAAATATCCAGAAGTCACACGGAGTTAAATCAGGCGAATGCGGCGGTTGCGGCACGATATTTCTTTTAATCATGAAGAATCGATGCAATATGCGACGCTGCATTACGTGCAGCAAAAACCAACATTTGTCGGCCCATAACAACGGCTTCTTTCAACGAATAGCTTCGCATAACACTCAAATGGTAGTGCCTGTTGACACTCTAGCTGGTCGGAAGACATACGGAGTGCACAATACCTCTACAATCGAAGAAAACTGTCAACATAACTTTGATTTTTGGCCTGCTGTGACGTGGTTTTTCCGTTTCGGCTCACCTTTGCACCGATATTCGGTGGATTGATCGTCTGGTTACGGTTCGTATGCATATATGCAAGACTTATCGCCAGTAATAATACTTTTCATAATATGCTGGTAGTCAGAAAGCATTGTTTCACAAACCTGAAAGCGACGTGGAGTTTTAAAAAATTTAAGTGATTTCGGTACCAAACGTGGTTTCACTGTTCTTAGGCTTTCAAAATTGTTTTCACTGATCCTTGCGATATTCCAAAGATGCCAATGAGATCTCCGATTGTAAATCGTCGATTCTCAAGTAACAATTCTTTTATTTTATTAACCTGGTGATCAGTTAGGGTTGATGGTCATCCGGAGACGTGGTTCGTCATCAACGCGTTCTTGACGCTCTTTAAATAATTTGCACCAAAAACACTTGCTTGCAACAAACAATTATAATCGAAGCCCTTTTCCAACATTCTGAACGTTTCGGCGCCAGAAATTTGATCCCGCACACAAAATTTGCTGCAGAAAGACAATACAATGTTGAAAACTAAACACTGTTATCACTGACCACACTAAACAAAAAAAAATATTTGCACTAATGGTGTTTTCTACGACATTTAAATCAAAAAGTCTTACTATATTTTGCCCACAGTAGTGGTACTAGCAGAAAAACTTTAATGGACAATGAAACAACTCCCTACGTATCGAATATCAAAGATAACTTCTCATTGAGATCTTCTCTATAGATTGATTTGAAGACGATTAGCGAAATTTACAACAAACGGATACCAGCAAGCAAGCAATAAAGCAATAAAACGCTAACTTATTTATATAGCTCTAATATAATACATATACTATATATAATACATAATAAATTGAAAATAAAGAATTTACTTGGGTTGAGTATTTTTGTAAGGCTAAAGCGGAAACTTCAAAGAGCGTTTGCTAAACAAGTAAACTAGCGAATTAAGGCAAAAATATAAAATATATATATGTACATCTGAGCTAACTGAATTCCTAAACGTACCTCTTTTCTGACTTACATGCTTTAAAGTGAATAATTTCTATTTATAGCACAACTGTGAAAATATTTGAAACCTTTTAGGCTTCCTAATGAGGTGTACGTACATATAACATAACATAAAAGCTGGTCTATACTTATAAAGCAAGCGCAAAAGTACTTGAAAATGCGAATATGGAAGCGTGAAGGACACAAACATCAGCACAAATTCTACCTTTTGGTCCAATGTCGACAATGCCTTCAAGCGAATTCGATACTCTTGCGTCCGTACACATTAACGACAAATAGATGACAGCAATATTGCGTGACAATGACTGTAAATAATTATGTATTCAGGTCAATATCTGGTGATTAAGTTCTGTTTAAGGAAATTGAGAGGCGCCAAAATATTGGCGCGCTTCCTGCCATTGACCCAACAAGTGAAAGCCAAAATGAAAGCGCACAACAAAGAAGCTAAATGTGCAACAAAGCGAGACAAGGAGAGCAACAGTGCGAAGCAGTGAAACTAGTACCCATAACTTGAGGAATTTATTATTTAAAGAGAATGGCAGAAGAATTTTCATTTCACTAAACTGATGAAATCAACGCAAAACGAAGCAAATAGCAACTTTTGTAGTTATTATAGGTGACTGGCATCGGGAGTAATGAACAACGAAGCAGTGTGAAAGTATTTATATGTGTGTGTGTGCGTATAAAGACAACAGCTGCTGCTCACCCACAATGCGTTCAAATTAATTTAATTTATGCCTTCCCATTGTTGTTGTTGCTTTCTATTGTCTGGCGTTGCTATTTCCAGCACTTTGACATTGTAGCGCGGAACGCGTCGAAAACGAAAGCAATTATCGCTAATGAATTTTATCGATAAATGTGCAGAAAATGTCCGCGAGCGCGTCATGTCAACCATAAGAGAGAGAGTAAGAAAATACGTGATATAGATTTGGAGTGGGAGTAAAAGCGCTGAGGGCAATGAAAGCGAAACTTCTTAATAAATTTTGTGTTTCCGCTTTCGACGCTTTTGTGCATCCGAGCACGTGTCACAAATGCCTTTTCTGAATGGTGAATTCATGACAAGGCAGCTCGAAATGTGCCGCATCACTGAAGCCGTATTAACTGGTATTGTCTCGTAGGACACCTTCATAACAATATATATGTATGTGTGGACATGTCAGTGTGGTTAAACTGCGGACAGTGCCAACAAACGGCTGACGGTCCATCATGTTGTGATGCCGTTGTTGAGTGAAGTGCTCGCATGAAATAACAATGCGAATTAAATTTTATTTCCACACCAGTTGTATAGATATAACAACAAATTTCAAGTGACAGCGACCAAAGGCCACTTAGCCGCACCGACCTCAATGGTGCTTGTAAGCCTTATATAGTATATATGTATGTATATATGTACATAAATAAGTATACACGTGTGTAACTGTGTGAGTAAGAAACAAGTGTTGCGTTGTGTGCCACACGCGCTCAAAAGGCAAACACTCGTAGCTGTCAGCTGCACACGCTGCCATGCAGACATTGCCGTGCCACACTGCGTATACGCAACATACTTTTATTACATTTTTCACTTTCCTAGCCGACTGAAATTATTTTTTTCGTTGCAAAGGTGTGCAAAATATATATAAATGTTGTTATTTGTGACATCAAATTCGATTTGTGTTTGTACACTGTACACTGTTTGTTTGCTTAAATTTAGTTGATTAACCATTCTCGGTCAAAATTAAATTAGAGCTTAGCTGAGTTCTTGTGTCTGGAAATTTTCGAGTAACACGTTGTATAGTTTTGCCTAGGGTAATTGAAGTGTATTGTATCGGAATTTGATTTAATTTTGAATGAATTTTGTTCAATTACATTCAGTCATATAAAGGTATTAATATAAACAAATACGTTTGCTTTCGAAAACGAAAGAGCCCACGAATATATAGTGCCCTAAGAGTAAATTATGGCAAAGGATTTAAAAATCCTTTAATAAAGTCCTCAATTAAATAAAATTTTTGCAAAATATAATAGTATTACTATCTAATTATTAACCAATTGGTAGTAACCTTATATTCGGTAGTCGGAAAAGTCTTTGTTAGAAGCCTTGATAAGAAATAATAAAACTTCAACTAATTTTTTTATATAATATTTATAATGAACTTTAATATAGCAAATATGTACTTTATTAATCGACGACCTTTTGCTATTTTTTCACTAGAGACATTATTCCGTCAGTGTAAAACTTTTCTGGTTTCTCGCGGAAAAACTGCGACAAGCAATTTTCACAGGCTTCTCTTGAAGCCAACTTTTCTATACACCATCAAGGGAATTCTGTATTGGCCGAAACAAATGATAGTCCGATGGTGCAAAATCAAGCCTATATGGTGGATGCACCAAAACTTCCCAGCCAAACTCTTCCACTTTTTGCCGAGTCATCAACGATGTGTGTGGTCTAGCGTTGTTCTAATGGAAGACGAAGCCCTTTCTGTTGATCAGTTCTGGCCGTTTTTTTTCGATTGCTTGCTTCAATTTCGTCAGTTGTTGACAGTAAAATGTAAAAGCAATCCTTCGACCAGCTCGTAGTGAACGATTCCCTTCCAAGCCCACCAAACAGTCAGCATAGCCTTTCGAGGTGTCAATCCTGGTTTTGCGACCAATTGTTGAGACTCACCACGCTTGGACCATGATCTTTTTCGCACATTATTGACGTTTTTGATCCACTTTTCGTCTTCTGTTATCATTCGCTTCAGAAATGGTTCGATTTCATTTCGTTTAGCAAAGAATCGCAGATGCTAATTCAACCCAGTAAATTTTTCACAGACAACTCATGTGGTACCCAAACATCAAGCTTCTGCTTGTAACCAGCCTATTTTTAAATGGTTCAAAACCGTTTAACGATAAATATTAAGTTCCTTGGCGATATATTGGGTGCTTATGTGATGGTCTTTGTCAATCTTTTCCATAACTTCATCGACTTTCTCAACGATAGGTCAACTAGAGCAAAGTGCATATTTCACATCGAAATCATTGTTGTGCTACATAAACTGATTCTCTGTAAACTTCACAAATTTCATTGGTGGTTTGCGTGGCATTCTTCCCTGAATTGAGAGAGGAACAGGAGTGGACTTCTTCCCAAGTAATTCGTATTCAGAAGTTAGCTTCAAACTAAATGACTACAAGTCCGTCTTTCGGGCCGAAAACAACAAGTGTCTGCAATATTAAAGGTTTAATCAGCTGTAGAGGTTGTAACCGCAACCTGACGGCATACTTAAGCAAAGTAGATTATGATTTTTCTTTCATACCGATACGTTGCTACCAAATAATAGCAGACCTCAACATCTTATGCAGAATTTATCATTATTAGTGGCGGAAGCCTCTTGATATTTTACCATCTCCTTATCTCAGGCACACTACAGCCCACATTTGTTCACTTTACTGACCTACACAATGCATAGACAAGTGTAGTTTGGTTGTTGAAGACTTTGATCCTGAATTAAGTGCTCATTTCAAAGCTGTGTATATTCATGTGGAGTTATTCTTCAGTAGACTTCAACGCAGATATTGTTTTCCTAACTTATGCTGGTTCGAAGTTATAGTAAATTTTCTATAACCGTTAAGGTCAACAGTGACAGGTCAGATAAAATATCGACGGAATATTGGTTTATTTGACATCAGAACACATTCATCTTTATTCTTCGTTTTTTATTCAATCAAGTCTGAAACCAAGTAATAAATAATTCCATAAATACACCAGCAGTTGTAAGCTGGTTTAAGACTGCTGCTCATCATAGCTTCAGAATTCGGCTGAAGAAGTATCACAACAGAGACTCTTCCGACCATTCTCGTTGTTTAGTATAAAGCGGATCGTTGATAATTTTATAGAGGAGGGCTGTAATAAACTCATACCATTTCAGTCAAAACAAACTCAGTATATTTAAGGGGTTACGTGGGATTACGGGTCTCAATAACTCGATTTATTGTCTTATTAAGTTCTATAATACCTCTTGAATATTGTCCTAAATTTTCAAGTTAATCCGAGTAATACTATAGTTTAGGAGATACCGCATTGAGAAATTGTGTGCTCCAGCCTAGCCAAAGTGAGTGCACTGTCTTTAAATGCGTTTTTGTCGAAACTGTGTTTTTGAAAGCAACATTTCTCGAAAACTAGTCAATCGATCTTCATAACATTATACTCAGGTCTTTAATATATAATTATTGAAGGCTAGGACGAAGGCTTTTCTTTATTAAAAAAAAAAACATGTCACGAAATTTTCACTGAAATTTTCACTTCTTGGTAAAAATGTCAGGCAAAAATCCAATTTTCAGTTTTTTCCTTCGTTCATTCGAAAAAAATTTTTGAAAAAAGGCTATTTTTTAGCGGAGGTAACCCAAGTAACCCCTTAAGAGTAGAAACTGCTTTGTTGAATCCTCAAAAAAAAAAAAATACGGTCTTTCAGGACTACGTTGGATTTTCTGATTTTTTCTATCACTTTTCCATGAATAATCTAACAAAGAATAAACCGAGAATTATTATTTTGCTAATCATTACTGTCAAGAATAATAAGTGATGCTTGAAATAATAATTGAAGGCTTCCAAATCGAACTAATTTTTTATGAAACTGATGTAAGTATCTGACTTTGTTAAATAAAACATATTTTAGCTTAATTTTAGCATAAACATAATCTCAAAACCACTCAAAAATTTTCAGTCAACCTATAGCTATCATTTCTAAGTTCATCAACCCTTCAGCCATAAGTATTTTCATTTTAACACCGTCATCTTCTCCACCACTCCCTCCTACAAACAATCCCTCATTTCAAAGACTCACCTGCAGCATTGGCAGAAAGAAGCACAAAAATTGTCCGAATATCCAATTCTGTATGAGCATCACCATCAACGTTATCGGCAACACCAGCGCACACTGCACCAAATGGCACAACGCCAAATTAACGATGAATGCGTGCGTCACATCCTTATAGAGGCGATTGTACATTGCATACGCGATAATGCTCACATTCATGGCAATACCGGCCAGCGCCAGCAACGCATACTGGATGAGGAACAGCCAATAGACGGACTTAATGCTGGCTTTCAGTAGGGGCCCGTTGACACGGTCCATCGCTTCGGTGTCATTGAAATCGCCCGACAGGAAGTGAGCAATCACCATGAAATACTTCTCTGGTATGTCTTTCAATTTCAATTCCATTTGCTGCTGGTGGCGATGGTTTGAGCTAATGGCCGCCGCCATATGATAGTCGAGTGCATCGCCGTCGGACTCTTCTTCGCTCAAGTCGTTGGCGATGTGATAGGCGTAGGGTGAGGAACGCATTTTTATCGATTTCTATTGCTGTTGTTGTTGTGGTTTCGTAAGTGATTTAATGTTCAATTGTGGCCCCCGCTGAAGGTTGCCGATGGTTGCCTAAGTGCGCAGAAGTGTTTTAATGGATTTCAACGAGGCATCGAGACATCTCTTTATGTAGCTGCAAGGAAGAAGAAACCAAGTGATTTGATCAGCGTGTATTTGAAAGTTTTATGTGATAAAAGATGATTTGTTAGAAAATAAATTAGCAACTTTATATATGTATTCACTTATATATATATGTATAAATTTATATTATAATGTAACTATATTTGAATACAACACTACTTAATAAAGACCCCTTCCACAACTACCGGAAACTCAATACACTATCGATATTCAACATTTTTCAATATTGCCAACCCTAAGTTCGCAACCGAGTTTGAGTCCTCATCGAAATCGCTATAGCTACTGTGGAATAGCACAAAAAAAGAAGCGTTATAACACGATGTGGAATTTTTGTTTTCTAGGAATTTGATAAAATTGACGCGGACGATCTGTACTTTCAAGAAAACGCGGTATCTCATGCTTGAAGTCTTAACATGGACGCGTGGCGTGCAAGGTCTGCCGACTCGCTAAGTCAAATGGTGGCCAAAATCATGCGCTTTAACGCGCCTAGATTATTTTCTCTGAGGGTATTTTAAGTCGAAGCTTTACGTCAATCAACTAGCAATCAAAATGCTTTCGGAGCTCGAAGACAACATTTAGTGCACTATAGCCGTAATGCTGGAGAGTTGGCGTAAACGAGTGGAGATATGCAAACGGAGTCAGGGTGGCTATTTGGTCGACGTTTTGATCAAAGCATAAATGCCATTATCTGCATAACAAAAATAACAGCACTCAGTACTTTGACGGCGACGATGCTGTAACAATAATGCTTCGTTCTGAAAATTTCGTTGTGAAAGATGCACTTCCCTTTGGTCGACCCATCGTTGAGCAAGTCGATGAAATTATGAAAAAGATTGACCAGGACCGTCACATAAACAGCCATTATATCGCCAAGGTACTTAATATTCATCGTTAAACGGTTTTGAATCATTTAAAAAAAGGCTGGTTACAAAAAGAAGCTTGATGTTTGGGTACCACATGAATTGTCTGTGAAAAATTTACTGGACCGAATTAGCATCTGCGATTCATTGCTAAACGAAATGAAATCGAACCATTTCTGAAACGAATGGTAACAGAAGGCGAAAAGTGGATCAAAAACGTCAATAATGTGCGAAAAAGATCATGGTCCAAGCGTGGTGAGTCTCAACAATTGGTCGCAAAACCAGGATTGACACCTCGAAAGGCTATGCTGACTGTTTGGTGGGCTTGGAAGGGAATCATTCACTACGAGCTGGTCGAAGGATTGATTTTACATTTTACTGTCAACAACTGAGGAAATTGAAGCAAGCAGTCGGCCAGAACTGATCAACAGAAAGGGCTTCGTCTTCTATCAGAACAACGCTAGACCACACACATCGTTGATGACTCGGCAAAAACTGAGAGAGCTTGAATGGGAAGTTTTGTTGCATTCACCATATAGCCCTGAGCTTGCACCATCGGTTTACCATTTGTTTCGGTTACTGCAGAACTCCCTTAATGGATTAAAATTTCCTTCAAGAGCAGCCTACGAAAATTACTTGTCGCAGAGTTTCGGCGAGAAACCAGAAAAGTTTTACACTGTTGGAATAATGTCTCTAGCGGGAAAATGGCACATATTTGTTTATTTATTTATTAGTATAAATATAAAAAATAAGTTGAAGTTTGCTTAGAAATACGTGAAGACTTTATCGACTACCCAATATATGTATGCTTATAAATATATACTTTACGGGGTTTGTTCAAATTGTATCAGGAATTTTGTATTTCTTAGCAAAGTGTTTATTTATTTATGACTATCTTTTTAGTCCCCTACATAGTAGTTCATGTCCGATAAAACGCACTTTCGGCAATTTTTTTTCCAATTTTTCCGGTATAGCCTTCAGTACCCTCTTCGATTCAGTTTTTATCCCCTCCATCAAAATGTAAAAATGGCATTTTCGGATTGCCTATTTGAGTTTGCTGAATTGCCAGAAATCACACGAAGTTAAATCAGTGCTTGCGGAATAATATTTATGTGTCGAGTTTTTGACAAAAATAAGTCGCGAGGAGCAATGCAGTGTGACATGGTGCAAATGAGAGTTTTTGTCATCAAACGAGATTTAATGAAATTGAAACACAAAACATTCTTAAAACCAATATTCCAACACTATCACCGAGGCCTCTAATAATCAATGCAGCCTCCTTCGGTAAGGACCATTAAGGTGGTTCGTCTTTAAGGTGTTCTCGGCCCACTTTGAATTCGATGTACCACCTATAAAAGATCTTTTGTGCCACATTTTAAACACCAAAGGTCTGCTGCGACATTCAAACTGATTTTGCACAATAATATTCTTTTTTTTTCGCAAATAAAAATTTGAAGAAAATTTGTTACTGAAGAAAATCAATTATGGTATAAGTAAAAAAGTTCACGTTTGGTTGTTTACAAAAACACGTGTAGTTCAGAAATGAAGAAACCTTTTCAAAAATAGATGCTTGGCAATTATTATACACGGTCCTACCAACCTAGGAAAAAAAAATTTACCTACCTTCCTGATAATACATATACTCCGCGAAAAGTCAAAATTCGCAATAGTTTTTGTGTTAAACTCGCATAGCGTCGACGACGTTTTCTTCTGGGTGTCATAAACTTCCTTACAAAGGGAGTATATGTTCAGGTTACAACAATAAGAACAACAACACGGAAAAATCTAATAAAGTTTAAAAAAATACCAATGCAAATGAAGTTCTATTTTGAAGTCTGCAGCTGGCTATATGAATGTATTCTGCAGCACAATAAATTTACTCTATCCGGAACCAGCACCTTCAAAGCTCATAATTTTAAAATATTTCCACCAAACAGAAAATAAAAATATTATATATATATAAATTTATGTGGATTTAGAATTCACACACACACACACACATACGCAGTATTTCAAATAACACTTCGGCAAACGCCATTCGCACCTTGTAATGTCTCTTGAGATACAGAGAAAAACTGCATTTTATTGAAAAACTAAATGGTTCCCAACAAACACGCAGGAGCACGGCGATATTTATGGCTGCCAGAGACTAAACCACGCTCAACAACTTTGGCAGAAAGAATTGCTGCAACACTGCTGTTGCATGTTGTTTTTCTCTCTAGACTCTATGCATAGCCACTTCACTCAATTTATGGCCAATTTAGGTGCAAAATCACAGAGGAGCGGCCGGCGAGCAGCTGAACATGCTTTTTCACAGAATTTCGAGTGCAATTCTCAAGTGGCTTGTTGAAACGGCATTTTCGCGCGCATTTGCCGCAGACACAAGCAGCAATCAGCTACAGCAACAACAGCAACCCAGCCATTTCCGTTTCCTTTCAGTTGAGTTGTAAGTTTATGCTGCAAGGTGGTTCGCGGGTCTGCGCTGGCAGCTGATTTCTTTATTTTCGACGAAACGACAAGCGGAAGTGAGCATTTTCACAGCGCAGCACAAAAAGGTTGCCAACTGTTTGCGCCGGCGAAGGCAGCAAATAGAAAATGTGGCAAATAAAATTGCAAATAACGCACGTTCTTTCTTGTTGTTGTTGTTACTGGAATTATAGTGGCGAACAGTTACATACCAACCAGCTTGTATATGTGTATATGTGTGTGTTTATGAGGGTGCGTGGGCAACGGCAATGACGGAAAATGTGGCACGTGCATTCTTTCCTAACAAACCTTTCCGCATTTTCCCCTTCGTCTTGCCACACACAAATGCTCGCTAAGGAGCAATTTTTTGTATCGGCTCCGCGGCTGTTCAACCAGTGAATAACGTTGGTTTCTCTTGCAAACCCTCTATGTGTGTGTGTGTGTGTTGCAAAAAGCGGCAAGTTCCGTTCAATTTATTGCCCTTAATTTGTTGCCTGCTATTGACTGTCTGCTGAGGCTACCACTAGCTGCCTTTAGCTGCCCACAACTACTCACAGATATACATACATACATACATAAATACTGATGTAGGTATTTGTGCCTCGGTACGTGTTTCTTTATCGGCGATGTGCAGCATGTTGCATGCAACGTTTCATATATGTGTGTAGGCCTGGTGTTGTGTTTGTTGGCGGTGGCCTGTCAGTGGCGGCGAGTGCAACGACCTGCGTGTATTGTTGCCACAAAACCGCACAGCTTGCCAACGGCAGCTCTAGCAAAGACCCGGGAACAAAAAACAACAACTCAAAGAACGAGAACGACAACCCTAAAAAACAAGAACATCACTACGTCGACATATGGAACTGACTCTAAGTAAAAATGGGTATGTCAGTTTTCTTTGGCCTTTTTTTTTTTGCCATTGCCATGCCACAGCCATTACTGCCACAAGGCGAGCGAAAGGGTGTGGGCGCGTACAAGACGTAGTGGGGGAGGAGCACGTTGTTTGCCGCCTGCCAGCACACATGCCACAGCGAATTTGGTCGAGCACGTGATGTGCCTCTTGGCAGTCGTTGTTCTGGAACACTTGCTCGCTTATGTGTAGGCACGGTGGTGATGATAGAGGGTGTCACAATTTGGTATGCAAAATATGAAAATGACTCCAAAATAGGTGAAAGAATGTTGCTTGTTATTTATAACAATTGAAGGTAGATTCGTAACACAAACATGCTTCTTTGAAAGTTTTTAAGCTTTTTACAGCAGAAAGTTTAGTGAAAGCTTTCGATAACTCTTTATAAAAATAGCAATTAATTTAGGTTTTAGAAACTTATGGACCTTGTGTATTAGAAATTAATTTTTTTGAAGATTTCTAAGCTTTTTCCGCAGTAAGCTTAGCAAAAGCTTTCTTGAAAAATCTTATTAAATTTACAAAATATTTTTGGTTTTAGAAACTTATGGACATTTCGTAATAAGTATGTACGTATATTTGAGAATGCTTTTAAGCTTTTTGCCACATAAGTAAAGAAAAGATTTCGTAAAATGTACTAAATATTAAATATATTTTAGGTTTTATTTATATATTTGCATAAATGCTTTTAAGCATTTTGTAGCAGAAAGTTTAGTGAAAGCATTCGAAAAGCCTTTATAAAA